AAAATCCTTAGATTCCTCGCTTGCCCTTTTAAATCAATCTATTCGCTTCCATCCTAAAGAAGGCACGAGAGTGCGTTTTTGGTCCGACCTTTGGATTGGACATTCCCCTCTGAAGGACCTTTTCCCCTCTCTCTTTCACCTCTCCTCGAACAAAAATCCAACCGTAGCTGAAGAAATGATTCTTTCAGGGGGTCGTAGGTTGTGGAATCCCTCTTTCAGGAGAAACCTAACCGAAGAAGAGACTTCACTCTTCATTTCTCTGTCTGCTGCCTTACACCCTATCTTCTTATCTCCATCAGGGACTGATTCTCTGGTGTGGACTCTCTCTCCATCCGGAAGATTCTCAGTTGCCTCCTCCTACAACAAACTTATCCAACCCCCTACTTACCCCCCGAACCCCACCTCCGTCTTGACCAAAGTCTGGTCAACCATAGCCCCTCCAGAAGTCCAAATGTTCAATTGGATAGCCTGCCACCAACGAGCTCTCACAGTCGATCAACTCCAAAAAAGAGGCCTTCCACTTCTTAACAAATGCGCTATGTGCCTGCAAGAGGAAGAGACGAACCCTCACCTTTTCCTACATTGCAGCCAGACTTTCGAGCTTGGAGCCTAATACTTCAGCTGTTCCATTTTCATTGGGTACTCCTTCGGTTAAGTCTCTCACCTCCTCCTATTCTTACTACCATTGTCCTAAGGCCGGCAGAACTTTGTGGAAGTCAGCTATTGCTGCTACCATATGGGTCATATGGCTAGAAAGGAATGAGAGTGTGTTCCGAGGCCTCAAAGACGAAGTTCCAGTGCTTTTCCATAAGGTTTCTTCCCTAGTAACTTTTTGGGCTTCTATCCACTGGGACTTTGTAGGGATCCCCTCTAACACGTTTCTGAGTTAGCAGGAGAATATCATGCACCTCCAACCTTACAAGAACCAAAGACCTCACAATTGGCAGCTCCCTCCAGAAAACGCCGTCAAACTCAACTTTGATGGGTGTTTGTTGGGGAACCTAGGGCCTTCAGGGGCAGGAGGGGCATTCCGTGATCACAATAGCAATATCCTTCTCACCTACTTGGAAAATGTGGGACAAGGAGATTCCCAGTTCGCTGAAGCTTTGGCTCTTCTCTTGGGCCTCAAAAGGTTCAACCCCTCATGGGGTCAACTTTTGGTGGTGGAAGGAGACGCCCAAAATATCATCTCTTGGGCAGCACGCACCTCCCCTCCTCCTTGGTACCTCTCAAGGATTTTTGACGAAATTCACTACATATGCAGGGATATGAACGTTTTATGAACACATACCTGGCAGACATCGAATAAGCTCGCCGATCTTCTAGCTAAAGACGGAGCACGGGCAAGTGTGGAAGACCCCGACCGGTCCATCTCCTTTTTATGCTCTGGATCACAGAGGGCTCCCAGGACTGTAGTTAGCCTTTCTTTTTTAATTGTACTCGGGCAATCTTATAAGCCCCATTTTTTGCTACACCACAATTTTTTGTTATCTGGCAAGAGACAAGGCCAATCTTTTGTATAGGGTCTCGGGACCTATTTTTTGACCGAGATACCCGTCTCGTGGGTACTCGAGGTCCTCTGTCTCCCCCTTCACTTGTACTCACTCATACAACAATACAAAGTTAACATTATAGAAAAAAAAAAAAACATTAATCAATAGAACAGAGAGGTTAATATGAGATAGATAGGCAAGATAAGGGTTTGTAGGAAAGAACGAATTGGATTCAAGTAGGGAAAGAAATAGAATTGGGTTTAGATTTGAGAGGGATTGTTTTGAAAGAAAGAGTTAGGGTTTAGATTTAAGAAGAGAAAAGATCAAGACTCTGGAAAGGAAAGAAATAGAAATAGGGTTTAGATTTGAAAGGGTTTGTGGTGAAAGATAGAGTAAGGCTTTAGATTTGAGAAGAGAAAAGGCCGAATTAGGAAGGGAAAAAAATAGAATTAGGGTTAAATGTCACCTTCCTAGACATTCTCCAGCCTGCAAGTTCTAATACCATGAAAGAAAGAAGATGGAGGTTATGCACAAGTGAAGAAGGAAAGAAGTTAAATCTGTAATGGATCGTCCATGACTAACCATTGTGTTCTTGGACGTTTACACACACACACACGCACATACACAAATATATAGCAATACAAATATGCCTACAACAATATCAAGTATTACATATGAACACCAAATAAATAAAACCAAATGTAAATGTCTTTTTTACAAGTCTATCCCTGCGCATCATATCGTCAATAAGGGTGGCTACTAGATGGTAGGAGTCACGTCGGCCCATCCACTAGACCCTTATCGTCCCCTCCTTTTTTGACAATAGTGGGATTGTACATTCCTTTGCTTTCATATCCATGAGTCCCCACCTTTTTTTGTTAACTGGACATTGCTTTTCCCTAATTTTTGTTACATATTACGATGTAGAGCACCTGGGATGCGTGCTGCTTGATTACGCATTTTGGAAACAGAATGATATACAAGGCTTACATTATACAAGTCAATTATTCTCTCCAGAAAAAGGAGAGAAAATTCTAGAGGTTATTTTTAAATTAAACAAATCAAGGGTTACTATTGCATGATAATTATGGACGAATTGACTTCATGAGGAAAATGATACATGTAATATAGATCATGGCACAAATTGTTAACTGCCCAAAGCATATCATCGGAAACAAAATATGGTCTTTTATAGTCTTTTCCAATCTTTTCTCCTTTTTTTTCCCTTGTTAATGATCATTGTAATTTGTATTAAACAAGAATGGTATTTTACAGTTGTCGTATCGTTTACAATCTATCTTTGATTTGATTAGCTGCAAAATTGTGTGATGTAGCCCAAAATACTACTCTAGAGGATCTAGATAAGAGAGACGACCTTAAAGTTTACAAGATGAACCACAAAAAGGGCAAATTAGTCATTGAGTCTATTCTTTTGTCTTTTATTTATTTCTTGAGTCCTTTTATCCACTTAGGGGCATAAGTAGTAATTTCTAGAGTCTTTTATGTCTTTTTATTTACTTAAAATCTTTTAAAATAAAGGGTCATAATTAGATTCGATGGATTGCTAGGATTAAGTCTTGTTTAGGGTTTTCTTAAATAACGGATGTACTCAAGCATTATGAGGGATGATGTTATGGACTTTTATTCAAAACCCTAGAATAACGAGTGCTTCTTTTATTTCTGATTTTTGAATCTTTCTCTAATTTTGGATCTTCCCCATCTTCTTCTTTGCTAAACCATAGATCCAAGCTACTAGGTATGCGACATTGTGGCAACAAGATTATCCTCCATCGCTCTTGGAAGTAAAGGTTTTGCTTACTTTAGTGTGTGTAGTTTTTCGTTTGATACAAGTACCATCCAATGCTTCAATTGTTGTCAACAAAAACATTGGATGCTTGGTGGTCATCATCATCTTCATCATGTTAGCCTTTTCCCAATTAATTGGAGTCGGCTACATGAATCCGGGTTCTCCATTCTACTGTATTAAATGCCATATCCTCAGTGAGGCTATAAGTCCCCATATCTTTTCGGATTACTTCCAACCACGTTCTTTTGGGCCTACCCCTTGTCCTTTTTAGTCCTTCCACGTGAACTAATTCGCACCTCCTAACAGGTGCTGTACTTGGTCGGCGTCACACATGTCCTGCCCACTGAAGTCCACTTTCTCTCATTTTATCACCTATTGGTGCTACGCCTATCGATTAGATTCATTTCGTATTCTATCCCTTCTTGTCTTGCTCCTCATCCATCTCAACATCCTCATCTCCGCTACACTCATTCTGTGGGTATATTATTTTTTCCGCCCAACATTCCGTCCCATAGAGCAAAGCTGGTTTCACCGTTGTTCTATGGAACTTGTCCTTCAGCCTCATTGGTATGCGTTGATCACATAAAATTCAAGTTACACATCTCCACTACGCCTACTCAGCTCTAATTTTGTGTGCAACATTTTTCTCGATCCTCCATTTTCCTGGATTATTGACCCAAGTTATCGAAAGTGCGGTCTTTTTTGTACTTTCTGACCGTCAATCTTACCTACTTCTTCGTTTCTACTCTTATTATTACTAATCTTGCACTTCATATACTCTGTCGTAGTCCGACTAATTTTAAAACCTTTGGATTCTAGAGAATCCCTCCAAAGTTCTAACTTTGTGTTGACACCGTTTCAGATCTCATCAACCAAAACTGTCATCTGCGAACAACTTGCACCACGGTACCTCATCTTGTAGGTGCCTAGTTAAATCGTCCATAACTAAGACAAAGAGGTATGAGCTCAATATTGATCCTTGATGTAGACATATTGTCCCTAAAAACTCACTCGTCTCTCCACTAGTTGTTAGTACACTAGTTAGCACTCTATCATACATATCTCTCACCAAGTCGATGTAGTGTCTAGAGATGCCTTTCTTTTCTAACACCCATCGGATCAAATTTTGAGGTACTCTATCATAAACTTTCTTTAGATCAATAAAGACCATGTGGAGGTCTTTTCTCTTGGCCCTAAACTTCTCAATCAGTTGCCTAAGTAGGAAAATAGCCTCAGTTGTTGACCTTCCTGGCATAAAACCAAATTGATTTTCAGATACACTCGTTTCAGGCCTTAGTCGTTGCTCAATGACTCTCTTCTAGAGCTTCATATTATGGCTCATAAGCTTGATCCCTCGATAGTTTGCACAATCTGTATGTCTCATTTGTTCTTGTAGATAGGTACCACAATACTTTTTCTCCATTCCTATGACATTTTATTTGTTCTCAACACCTTTTGAACAACTTCGTCAGCCACTCAATATCAATTTCACCCATGCACTTCCAAACCTCTATCGGGATTCATGATGGGTTTTGGCAAAAATTTTCGTTGGCTACCTACCTAACACAACCATGCCCCTTTACCCAGGCATGGGATGGGTTAAGGGAAAGTTTAAGGTCATCACCTTTCTTAGACTCTGGATGCTTGGTGGTACATTTACCAAATTACATGATATGGTAATCCAAACACTTTTGGTGTAGGCTATGATCGATTGGAGATGCAATGGTGCGCACGATGGATATCAAGGGCTTGTTTTTCCCTGAAGGTAGTTCCGTCACCAAGAAGCAAATCACGACTACTTCCCTTTCATTTTTTATTTATTTTAAAAGAAGTTATAGGGACTTTGGGCAGAAAATTTTGTGGAAAGGAGAAGTCAAGATGACCTAAATGAGTGGAAACTTCACGAGTCGAATGCCCCAATTATGGTCAAGTGAACCTTTTTATTTTATTAAGTTTCTTCTTAAATATTCTTAGACTGAATCCGGATTTGGAACTAGTGTAATTATGTGGAGATTTGTATTAAATATACTAAATTCCTCAGGATGTATGTGTGTCGGTCATCACCAAGTGATAATGACCATCAATTTTGTTTGATTTAATAACTTCTGATATTTCTCATTCTGCTCACAAGCTAGGCATCTCTTCTTACATAATAGAGTTCTCATGAATAAGGTTATTAGCATGCACAAGTTCCATAATAGAGTCCTAATGAATAAGGTTACTAGCATGCATAGGATAAAGATATGTTCCGAACTTTTGGACTTCTTTAAAAAAGGATGTATATGCGTCGATCATCACCAAGTGATAATGACCATCTATTTTGTTTGATTTAAGAACATATGATATTTCTCATTCTGCTCACGAGCTAGGCATCTCTTTTTACATAATAGAGTCCTCATGAATAAGGTTTCTTAGCATGCATAAGTTACATCATAGAGTCCTAGTGATTAAGGTTTCCTAGCACACATAGGATAAAGATAAATTCCCATCTTTAATTTGGACTCCTTTGATTTTTATTTTCAAGTTAAGTTGGGATCGTGATGTTTTCTTAATCTTTCAGATCTCTTATTATGAATTTTTATCGTTTAAAAACAACGTAGGCTAATTTAAGATAAGAAATTTGGAAAATACTTTATCTTTACACGATAGCTTCCATGCTAAATAAAGTTTTGTTGATATAGAGGATTAAGATAATCCTTTTCTTGATTTTGTTAAAAAAAAAATTTCAAGTAAAAAGTAAGGAATATAGCACTTAATTTTTTGAATAAGTTTTTAATTTATGAACCTTTTGTTGATTTTTATAATAAGTAGATATAGAAACTTTAATTGATATGTGCAGTGTACAGGTTGTGGATTACTAATATTTATATATTTACTATAAATGCTATTGCCCATACTGAAATTAATCATGTCGTTGTATAACAAGGAAGTAAACATGGTAGCTTTTGCTTATCAAGTTAAGTGCAAATAAAGAGGGGAGGATAATCAACAGTAAACTCCTCCAACTCGCTGTCCTATTTTCATTTGGATGATGCTGAAGATGATCATGAGGGACAGAATACTCGTGATGTTGAGAAAGAGGTATAATGGGTGCCGCAGCAACAGCATCACCACCACGACTCTGCCGCAGGAAACCTCCTCTTCTACCTCTATGAGCAGCAGCAGTTGCACAAGAAGGATTGATTATGAAGAAGCGAGCAATGGCCTGTATGGACTCCCAATTCTTAACACTCCCAAAGGCTTTCAACACTTCGTCGACCAAGCTATTCATAGGTGCTCACTGCTTTTCCTCGTGCTTTGTTTCTCTCTTGTTAATTAAACCACTGCCAAATAGTTATAATTATGTTGTTGCATGTGTATGCTGCTGTTTTATTAGATCTGGAGAGCTCATTGCTTACATCTCCAAGCTCCCTCCATCCTCTGAAACCATCCGTGCCATGGACGAGATTTCCGACACTGTAATAAAAGCATCTTCACTTGTTCATCATTATCACCGTAGCTTACAAGTTACAACATTACTTATTGTGCACTTTTCATTGTTTGGGATTGGGATTCAAGCAACTTCCTTATGCTTTTTATCTCTCAACATTCTGATTGGGACTGGGGGAGATTCGATCTACTTCCTTCTAGGATGCATCAGGCATGCATGCTTATATGTTGCGCACTTTTTTGATTGGATTACATGAAGAGAGCTTCAGGTTTTGAAATCACTTTCATGTTGGCAGGTGTGCTCTGTAGTAGACTCCGCCGAGCTTTGTAGAAACACTCACCCAGACAGGTCAGTATTACCAGTTACACTGCCGCAGATCTGATTTCTTGTGTTGCTTCGTTCTGCTGATGCAGTCATCCCTCACCATCTTTATCTTTCTTGAAAATCTATGTAGGGAGTACGTGGAAGAGGCCAACAAAGCCTCAATGAAGATATATGAATATCTCCATGTATGTGCTTAATTTTTCAACTCCAATGGAATGGTCCGATTGATCACAATTTCTTGCCCATGTGTGTCCTCTATCTCAACATAAATGGGATTTTTGTAAATTCCTATTTATTATCTTTTGAAGTTCAGAATGGATAAATGCTGGACTCTTTTCTTCCTCAATTGCTACGCCCAAGCCGTCCCACATAAGTGAATTACAGAAAAAAAGAAAATTAACTATGAATTACAATGCCTTTGATTCAACTTCTTGCATATGCCTCTCACTGCCTTAGTGCATAATAATCTTCGGGCTTTATGCTTCAAATTGTGTCATTGCACATTGAGTTTTGCCTGAAGGTGTAAATTGGGAACCCATCTAAAGACAGAATAATATTTTGTAACTAGATCTTTTAGTAGTAATGTTTTCCATCGACCACATTTTCTGATTTTGTTGTTGAAGCTTTTATAGTTCTTAAATACAAATCATACTCTGTACAAGGCGGTGGTGAGAGCCGAACAAGAAGGTGTTTTAGCAAGTGCAGAAGCTCAAAGGGCAGCACACTCTCTTCGCATTGATTTTGAGAAAGGCGGTATCCATCTATGCCCTGGTAATGGAGCTACCTTCACCGCACTTCATTATGGAAATATTGCATTTGATAATCTTTTTGTTTATGACACCTCTTTTTCTCAGGGAAGTTGGACCGAGTAAATCAACTAAACCTTGAAATTACACTGCTAGGAAGGGAGTAAGTTATTTCATATTGAAAGCATTTTGTTTCATGATTTTTTAAAGTGGACTGTGTCTCTCAACGAAAAAGTGGTTGTCATCTTTTGTTATTTGAGAAACTGTGTTATGTAACAGTATAATATGGACTATTTCGGTGGAAGATGATCGTATGGATTATTGAACTTTCCCATATTTTTATTCACTGATCTTACCCATTGTCTTAGATGCTCTTTAATAGTAAATGAGCCATGTCAAGTTGCATTTCTCCTTATGATTGTTATGCACAGGCACATACTGGGTATTGAAAAGCGGTAGGTGGTGTTTACCTGGGCACGTGGCTTAACCTTTTTTCTTTCTTTTTTTTTTTGGACGGGGGGTGGGTGGGTGGGTTATGCAGAAGCCTCCCATGTATTCATTTTCTTATTCTTAAATTTAGTATCATGAGAGAACTGTCAAAAAAAAAGTAGTTTATGGGTGTGTGGCATACTTGTCTGTAATGAGTGCAATGTAGCTTGTATAAACATTGAAACATCAACACCGTCCATAGAAATCGGATATCTGCATTGAAACTTAATATGGTTATAGAGTTAATATGCTTGAGAATGGGGCGGGCTGGGCTCGTGGTTGTAATACCACTTGAGCCCCAGTTAAAGGTCGCGACCGCATTCTCACTAACACTTTCAAAAAATTGTCTCTTTCCAAAACGGGTAGGGGCCTGTAATCCCCATTGATATATCCAAAAAGAAAAAGAGTTAATATGCTTACAGCCCGAAGTGCGGGACCGCCTCACAAAGGTCAAGATTGAATTCAATAACATGGTATATATAAAATTAGAAACGCAAAAGTGATTCTGAAAACTCTCAAAAGGCCATAAGGGCCACTCAAAACATGGAAGAGAGGAGTTAATATAAGACACATGCTCTTCTCTGTTATCCTTAGCCTCCTCATTACAAGCATCATCCATCATCATCATCCGATCCTTATCCCAACTATTTGGGGTTGGCTGAAATAGATGTGGCAAAAGTTATACACTTGCTGCTAACCTAATACAGCCCTCCTCTCCAACGTATTAGGATCTTCTTTTGTTCCCTTTGAATGAGCCTCCTTGTCCTCATCCTCCGCTATTATCCCTCTTCTTTGCAAAACAGAACCTATAACCTAGAATAGTGTCGGATGTTGTTTCTGCGATCCCTCTCCAGAGAATACCTAATCCTCTCTAGCATCGAACACGCACCCACTAAGTCATCGACATCCTTCAAAGCAGTGGGTTTGATTTCATGGTGCTCTTGAAAGCTCCTTCAACTTTTGAATATACTGAATATTGACTAGATCATTTAGTTTCTCATGCTTGAGAATGTTTCTCCTTTTTGTGTGAGCTGAAAGGTGAGACACTCTAAAATCTCATGAATGATATTATTTGTTTGATCCAAATTTTACCGCATTCTACTGACAAGTCAGTTTTATTCATGTTAGAAAGTCAAGGTATCCATACTAGAAACCCACTCTTTTCACTATTGCAACTTTTATCTTTAATCATTATCTAGAATGTTGTAGTCATTCGCAGTTGAATATTTTGATTTGTGCCGTGAGAAATTATGATATATTTCTTGCAGTGCTGAATATGATTATTTGTCAAGACGGTTATGTCATGGCATCTGGACTAGAATGACAATATCCAACTTATCATCTCTCATGAACCAAATTGGCTTATATATTGGTCTTCTCTCTTTTTATTTTTTCTACTCTTTATCGTTTTCTTCTTAGTCTGAAGCCAGTACTTTTACTGGATTTTGTGCCCACAAAAAACCTATTTCATGACTATTTCATATTTTGATTGTATCAGGTTTAGTGAGAATGTTATCATTGATCCAGGCAAAGTGGATATATTTCCAAATACACGTATTCCAAAACGCATTCAAAGTCTTCTTCAACCAATCTATCGTAATAGAGCAGGTGGTTTGAGGGAGTCCAAGGAGGCAAGAGATGCGATGCAGGAGTCAGGATTTCGGATAGTCACTGACCCAGCTATACTATCTTCCATTCTGAAATGGACACCAGACGCAGAGGTAACTTCATGTTGCATTTCTAATATATGCTTTAGGTTCTGTTTAAAAGCACCCTAATATTATAAGATTTCATGATAATATAGAATCTTCTGTAATTCTAACTATATGAGTTTACATGCCTTGTTTGACAGGGTCAAATCATAACTTCTAATATTCAGATTGCTCCCAAATATCTGAATCTCCAAATATTTAACTTGTAGTTGAATTTTGTGAGATTTAATTTCTGCGTCAAAATTTTTTGCATCTCTCTTCCTCTCATCCACTCAGCTCCCTCTTTTGTTTTCAATTTTTCTCTCTCTGTCTCTCTCTGTCTCTGTCTCATGGTGGATCACCAAAGAAAGCTATGGTGAATCAGAAGAGAAAGCAACCCAGATGTGAAAAATTTTCAAGACCTCTCTTTATAAACTTTAAGGTTTCACTCTTATGCTTATCTGCTCTTCTTCTACCTATGTTGAAGCTTGAACTCTAAGCTTTAAAGTGGTAGGAAAATAAAGTGATCCAGTTGTCAAGCTTTTTCAAGACCAACATTATAATGTATTGGATGATTTCAAGCTTTAGCACGACCATTTTAAAGACCATTTAAATTCCCAATAGAATACTGTAAGCTTTGACATGGCCTATTTTGGTCATGTGTGTGCTGAAAACATTATCCCTTTTGACATTTCTTTCATAGATTAAATGTGGTGACCTATGAGATAGGAGTATTGGTTCGGTAAATATATTAGGGCAGACGTGCATCAGAACAAGGTTGGAGAGATAGCGGTAGGGTATTTGAAGGGGCATTAAAGCCAAGGGAAAAGACGTATGGTGCTTATAAGGTAGCAACGGAGGTGGTACAGAGACAAGTCCCCACTCTTTGAATTTGGCGAAATTAGTGGGTTCGTGCGCCTCTAGTCTGGTTTGAGCTTCAATCCAAAGACTGAACTGGTGAGGAAAGAGGGGATGATATTTGGTTTTGGTTGGGTTTTGAGGCTTCTAGGCTCCAATAAACAATCCTGAGGCTGAGATTTTCTCACACTTGATCGATGACTCTGTAATTTTGAGAGATAATTATACTTAAACGCAATCAAGGATTTGGTCTCCTCCTTCAATGAAGAAAGGAGAAGCCAAAACCAAAGATTGAGGTGAAAAACTCAGTTGGGTTTTGGTTGAAGACTCAGATATGCTAGAGACGAAAGACCATTGGTTTTCTTTCAAATATATGTAGGCAGTCAAACATGAACAAAAAAGATAATCTTAACATATGGAAAACCTAGCATATCCTTTATTCAAATTTTAGAAAATCTGAATTTAAAAATTCATTTTTGTCAAACATACCCTTAATTTTGAAATCATCTCTTTGTCATTTCTAATTCATGACATAGTAGGTATGATGACTTAATATTGGATTTCCAGCCTACAAAAACATACCAAGAGCATTATTAAAGAAGGAATTTATATGTGGTATGTTGGCATTGAATGGATGTTCTATTTTCCTTTTTCTCTTTTCCTGTGAAATGTTTCTTTAAAGATATCACTTGCATTCAAAGGTGTGGTTAGTGAGATGGCCAAATTGAAACTTCCATTAAAATAAAGAACATCCAAACTCACATCCAAATTGACTACCTTGTTAGCCAGCTGAATGGACATTGTGCTCTATCCTGGATTTATAACAGTACAGTTCTGATGAATCGTGTATTAAGCACCAGGGGCAGATGTCTAACCTACCAATGGGAAGAAAAATATTCTTCTTGACTACCATGCAAGGTCCAATCCTGTGCCTCAAAAAGATACTAAACCACCCAACCCGACTCCTTAGATCTGCATCAATACTACCCAGCCCTAGTCTCTAATGGTTGATTCTATCATTGCAACTAGACTTGGAAATACCTTCAAGCTTCAGCTTTAGAGAATCTCCTCAATTGTCTCGCCTCAGGTCTATAGGCTTCAACAAACATTTGTCGTCCTTCTCTAGATCACTTGATTCCCTTAGAAAAACCCAATTGTTAGAACCCTCTTAATCATGTCGATCCTATTCTTATGGGAAAATATCAATAAAATGATCAAAACCACATCAAAAAACCTTTGAAGTTAATTCAGCCCTATGATGAATACTTCACAAAAGGATGAGTGTTTTACAAGAAAGGCAATGATGAGGTAGGGGGTCTCTTGTATTTGGTTACCTGGTAGTTCCCTCCCTGACAGTTGGACTAGAGATGAAGTGGCAGAATGGTGATATACTCCACTAGCTGATAACGACCACCACACTACTTGAACAACCTTTCAATTACCCCATTCAATATCTGATGCTACCCAAAATTCTGCTCTTGAGTATCTAGATAAGAGAGACAAGCTTAAAGTTTGTAAGAGACCTCTTGTAGAATCATTTCCAAGCATCAATATTTGGTTGATTGCTAGAGCCACCCATCGGTAACCGAAGGTTCATAGGAGGCTTGACCACAAAATGTGAGCAACCTCACTTTGCAGGAGGAGTGATTGATTGGTTCTTCATTTGGTTCACACATTACACATCGGTTGGGTTGTTGATGGCCTCTCTTTTTCAATTGGTTAGTTGTCAAAGTTTTGTCTGAATGTAAAGTCCATGCCTTTTGTCTGAAAGTAAAATCCAGCCAAAGGCATGGACTTTATGTGGGACTGGGAAGTTCTGCACCTTATTGTAAGTGGGATTGGTTAGCCTGACTAAATTGTAGAAAGAGGCGACCGAGAATCACCTGGCTGCCATCGGGCGACGCAAGTTTATCCAGACATGACTTTAGGAAGAAGCCTTGTAACAAGCTCATGAGGTGCAATAGTTCTTGACATCCCTCATCAGTGAGAGCCCTGTGGAAAGGTGATGATCAAATGATATTGCTTCCCTTGCACTCTGCAACTTCCGGCATCGATATCTCTTGCTTTCTTGCAATTGCAAGGAGGGCAGGCCACCAAACCCCATGGGTTGATCCCCCACCCACAGTTCCTTTCCGGGACTGTATCTGGCGGCTACACCCCACCTTGAATCTAGTTTTCGTCAAGAAAGCTTGCCTACTTTGGGGAATACTCTTCCATGCACTAGATTCTCTATGGTGGGGACACCTAAGGAACCAACACCCTTCTTCTACTCCATATTTTACCGGGATAATCTCTTTCTCGCTGATAATCTTCCATGGCATACCTCCACCACCATGCACCAAATAATGCTACATTATATCATTTCCACCTCCTTATTCCTAAACGTCTTTGACTTCTTGGTAGGCATATCTTATCCCAGGCTATAAGATGGTATTTGCTTCACTATTGCAACCCCACCAGATAAATGTTTCATAAGGTTTTCTAGTTTTGTCACCACCATCCGGGCATTTGAAACAAGGCATTTGGAAGATGGGGGTATTAGCCAGGGTTGCTTTGATTAGTGTCATCTTCGCCCCTAAGGAAAGGAGCTTTTCAGATGGCCAGTTTCTTATTAAATTTTAAAACAATATGTCCCAGAGATGCTTCTTGGATTTACCAATACATAAGGGGAGGCCTGAATATTTTGAAGGCATGCTTTCCACCCACACCCAAAATGTTTTTCTAATGATTGGAGTTCTTGTTCCTCCATCCTTACTCCAATCATACCAGTGGAAAGCTCGAAGCATCTTAGGAAGAGCCAAAGATTATCTCAAGGAAAGCATTGCAGCAGATAACAGTATCATCTGCACATAAGAGGTTGTTACCCTTTGGACCCCTGTTAGGAGTGTAAAAGCCTTGTAAATGTCCGGATTCATATAGTCTGTAGATCGGTTTGGAGAAGGCATCCCTAATCAAAGTGAAAAATAAGGGCAACAAGGGATCCCCTTGGCCCAGGAGGCAGTGAAATAGCCTTCGAGCAAGTCGTTAATCAAAAGCCGGCGTCCCTTGAACAACCTTGTATCCAAATTCTCCACGTTGGGCCAAAACCCATCTTAATCTGAATTTTGTCCAAAAGAGATGAATTTTTTTCTAAAAATGGAGAAATCACCTCATTCTTGGTTCACAGCCAGGAAGGAAGGATGGCTTTTCCATCATTTAACTCAGGAAACTTAGTTCATGGAAAATGATGCAATTGCGTTTGCTTGTTTTTTCTCCAAACCTGAATAAGATCTTTCAATAGAAAAATGGATGTTTTAGATTTGGACCTAGAACCAGGGAAGGCATCTCCATGAAGTGCTCGAGAGACTTAAGTCATTGAAAATGCTAAAGAGAAATTTACGTATGGATAGGGCAAAAGATGCAATATTACCACAAAGTCTATATTTTGGGCCATATTACATTGAGGTCCTCCTTTGGATTTTCTTGTTCCTATTTATCCCCCAATTTGAAAGTCTAACTTTGTTACCACCCAAAATACAGAAAAACTGATGCTACTGCTTGAGACTTGTGTTTGGGTAGTTGGAAGTCTAACTTTTGAACCGCATGAAACACAAAAAACGTGATGTGTTTGGAGAAGGTCCAGCTTTTGATAATTATATTGATATTTTTCTTTATTCTTACTCATAAAAATGCCTCACAATTATACAATTTACTACTTAATACAAAAAGTTAACCTTTGCTCAAAAAACGAAAAAGCCTCACAATTATTGTTCTACCTATTAAGTCTCAGTATTTAACCCCTTCCAATGTATTCATGAATTAGGCAGGGAATGTTACCAAGCATTAACACCTTTTGTAAAAGCCTGAGAATGGGTGAAGGTTCAATATCGATAACCAACCACGAATCCACCTAAAGGAACAGCTAGCAGGGTGTCAATGAGGTCTTCTCTGCGTGTTCATGGATTGACCTAATAGGGACATGCAATCATTATTATTGTTATTTCTTTGGAAAAGTTAGGGACGAATTTCTTTCCATGAGTTGATTCATATTTGACTTATCTTTTATTCTTTATGACCTGTTGAAAAGAAATCTTGGAGGAATAATCCCTTTCCAAGTTGGGCACACTATTTGTTTGATTTCATCCTAAAAGTTGTGTTGAAAGTGTCTTTTAGTTTTATCTTCGAGACCGACTTCAATTTGTTCTCTTTTTTCTAAGAACCATGAAATGTTAGTAATACCTCATCATGAAAGGCATGGAAAATGTGAATAGAAAATAAAAATTGCAAAGAATTCCAATTCTTCCCCCAGATAGTGCAAGTACTCTTCACCATGCCTCCCTTATCAAATTTAGTGGATGAATAAACTGATAAACATTATTCTGGGACATATGCTTACTCTTTATTAAGGAGCAAGCGCTGTTAACAAAATAAGTGCTTCTAGCCTTGTGTGCTCCTTTTTACCTGTTGTATGGGCACATTCGTTGGGAGTGAAGTCCACTTTGTGGCATGTTGTGTATTTATGCATAAATGCTTGAAGTTTGTAATGCTTATGTATGAATTGTAGCCTTATCTTCTTTCCATAATACTTTGCTAATATGCTTATGCTTTTTGCAGAATATTTCATATTTTGTGTTGTAAGTTCTCCTAAATTGATTGACGATTTCATTTGTGTTCCATTTTCTTAGTTTTTAAATAGGTAAACTATGGTGAAGATAAATGAAATACACAATTGATTGCCAGAAAACCCATTCACCCAAGTTATCATCTTATTAAAATATCATCAACAACTAGGCTGTGAATATCTTGTTTGAATTTTACCTAAGCTTCATTGAGTGATGTTTCATTGAGTGATGTTTTATGTATTGATTGAATGCTTTGTATATTCCTACCATCCCCTCGAAATTGATGTTACATTGATCAATTACTTCTATCACATGAATCTTTAGCCTTTTATGTTAATTTTACTTTTCTTCCTATAGGTCCGGAAGCAAGCATACATTGTTGGGAATTCTGTTCCAAAAGCAAATCTTGGTGTCCTTGATAAGCTCATAGCAGCTCGTCACGAACTCGCAGAGGTTCCTTTTTCTGATTTTATTTTTTTTGAGAAATTATTCCAGATTTTATTTTTTGTGTATGATTTTCATAACCATGCGGATTTTATTTTAATAGGCTTGGGAGTTGGGACCGGCATGACCGGCTTGGAACCAGTCATGGCGGAGTTAATCTACTTGTCTAATATCTACCCCAAAATGATATTTTTCTGCTCCAAGCTGAAAGTGATATTAATATCATTGTTAACTTTACTTGGAAAGTTGTGACGCATGGTTTTCTCGCAAAAGTATATTGTGTTCTACCTTTTATATAGTACAATTGAAATTGAAGATCTTCCATTGGGTAGTTGTAGTTTTCTTTGATAATGCTGGATGTACCAGGTTCCAATTTTGCTGTCACATCATCACTGGTGTGGGTCAATCGAGGCTAAAGGCAGAAATATATCAAATATTTTCCTGTAGTTGTGAACTTGAAGATTGCACTTATTCATTGTTCAAGTCTCTGTCAGTGCATTAGGACCCCACATTTTCTTTCCTCCCTCGTAATTATTGGCCTGGTCTGGAAATGAGAAGGAAGAGGTGTTCATTGGGATAGGGCCCCCACCCTTCTACAATGGTGTATCAAGAACCCTTATGTCATTGAGTCCCTCTCTTCCTTCCCTTCCCAATCCTGAGCTTTTCTCTGTTCTTGACTTTTGCCTCTCTCTCCCGCCACCATGCAGTCTGTCTGTATGCTCCTTTGGAGCAATTTGATTTTAATTGGATGCCTTTTAATTTTTAATTTACCAAAACAAGAAAAGTCACTGTTAGTATATCAGTGACTATGCCATCTAGTACTAATACTATAAATTTGTGTCTCAAGATGACTCCATTCACGGATTGTAAGCTTTTGACATACATCCTAATTATGTTTATCTTTTAGTTGTCAACTGGAGATTGCGTTATCTCATTGCTGGAAATTTGAATAAGAGCTTGTTTATCTTTGGCATGTTCATTCAAGAAAAGCAAGGGTATTGACACTCAGTGCCACTGTGAATAAATAGTTCTCAGCAGGACTTTCATTTTTTTGTCTTTTCTGAATGTTCTTTTAACTGATGAATGCATGACTGTCTTAAGGAACTCAAAGCTTGGCAAATGAAAACAATGAAAATCAAGGTTTATTATTTTTTACTGTAAATGCTGGGAGGTATACGTCCAATGTTTCTTTCACTAACATAAATTTTGTTTCAGATATTAGGATACAAATCTTATGCTGAATTTGCTACTTTTCCAAACATGGCATCATCATCTGAAGTTGTGATGTCTTTCTTGCATGAGTTGAGTGAGATTGTCAAGTGTAGAGCTGATGAGGTATTTTATTTCAATCTCCGGTGGAAGGTTGGCTGCTGTACAATAAACATTCCTTAACTTGTCCTTATTTTCTATAGGAGCTTCATAAGATCCGAGAATTTAAGCGGAAAATATGTGGTGGAAGTAGTGATGGCGTGGAACCTTGGGATGAAGCGTACCTCACAGGAATGATGAAATCTTCTACTTATGACTTAGACTCATCAGTAAGTTGACATTATGCATATTTTTGGCATAATCTCTGGCTACACACTTCAATTGCCTATATGGTACAACAATTCAAATGAAAAAGAAGATTGCGTTTGACCTAGAGGATGATCCATTGGCAATGTTTGTCATCTTATTAATGTACAACTGTTGATTTCAGGTTATAGCATCATATTTTTCCCTGCCATATTGCCTTCATGGTCTGCAAGTGATGGTAAATTCATTGTTTGGTGCAACACTTAAGAGCATCCCTCTTGCACGTGGTGAATCATGGCATCCGAGCGTAATCAAAATGTCACTTCAACATCCGCAGGAGGTGCTGAATTGTTCATGACCATCTGCTGAAACCTCTATTTTATGATTATGAGCATATTTGATTTAAAATAATTGTTGACTCAATGGTTTTCTCCTGCAAGTTTTTGAGTTTTATTGATCTTCACTGTTCAATTAAAGTTTTCACCTTATGCACTTGATTGTTTTATTTAGACCATACCTTTTCATGGATATTTTTAGGCATTCTGTCAGCATGTGCAGCAGTGTTTAAAAACACTGCAAAGTTGACTTGGGATTGGCTCGAGTGGACTTGCCTTGGGCCCCTAAGTGAGTCTCATTGAAATACCCTGGGTCTAGCCCAAGACTGACCTTTTAAGCCCCTACATAGATATTTGTCCATAGATTCGGCAGGGTTGACTTGCTAGACTTGGGCTCAGGACCCTAGTGAGTCCTGATTCAAGGCTGGGTTTAGATTATCTCTGCTATTCTTTATTTGCTACTGTCCATGTTTCATATCTACTCGATCATACACTAAGCCACTTCTAAGAGTAGTACACACAATATTCAACTAGAAAGAAACCCTAATGCTAGAGAAAACATAAGGTAGGACCATCTTGGAGGCGTTAAAGAGAGAGATTAGTGCAAGTTTAATAAGCTAAGATACCTGGAGTTTGTCTTTCATGAGATAGTTTAAGTTGGATTGACCTTTCTTTTACTTAGGATTTATATTTAGGCATACTTCTCTTATCTTTATCTTTATTAAATTTTTTACCAGGATAGATTCCTACTTTTTTAAAAGGATGAGACAACCTTTTTGGAGTAAAAAATTTCTCATACATATCCTTCAATTTTCTCTCATATATACATCCTCTTTTTTGGAAGGGTATATGGCTTTGGTTTTATTTTGAAAGAGATTCAATTTCTTAGAGGCCTTTAATTTTGTAAAGACAATCAGTAACAACAGTTATGTCCCTCTAAAATAGGCTTTTTCTCAAGGAAACCCCAAGGTAAGTTTTTGATATCATCTTTTGTTATGTTTGTATTGATGGCTTAGGCCTTAGGGTCTAGATGTGATATCTTATTTTCACGCCATTGGATCATGTTGCTTTTTTCCTTGATATTTGTTTTCCATTTTCATATTTATTGTCTCTTAAAATCTTTGTCTCTACCATGGCCTAATATACTTTAGTTATGGTTGTGTATGTTTATTTTGATATCATAAATTTTTTTATGTATTTAATTTTTTTTGAAAATGAGTTTGTGCAATGCACGTCCCTTTAGCTTGTACCATATTGATTGAAGATATTATTTTCTATTCATACTATGTGAATTCATACATAATAGCAAGTATCCAAGGTACTAAACACATACTCTCTCAAACAAAGGTTCATATGGTATCAGAGCAAGTAATACCAAAAACACTAGCACATGTTCATAATAGTTGATAATAAAAAGTTTGGAATTGGGAACACGGAATCAAAAGAGACTGAAGAGAAGGAGAAGGAGAAGGAGGTCTCTCTGTGAATTGAGAAGAGATACCTTAAAGAACCAATTGGAACTGACAGTGGCTTTAATGCCACATACCTGTGATGGAGCCCTAAATATTTTTCATTGGGGCTTATTTTCTGCAGTGGCTTCATAGGTTGAAGATTTTCTTAATTCTTAGGTAGAGAAATCTGAACAAGACATTTTAATACTTCAGAAACCGAAAATCATTTCAACTATATAGAAACTTAGATGAAAGAGAACCATAGGTTATTGTGGGTAACAATCATTGGAACCCCGCACCCACAATTGAATCTCATCGTGGGTGTTTTTACCTTGCCAATAGAGTTCCTAGAGAGTTCTGTTGAGATTAAAAGAGGAAGAGAGGAGAGATCAATGGGCCTACCCGTTGTTCTTTTTTAGCCTTCCACTTGAAATAATTCGCACCTCCTAACAAGTGTTGTACTAGGTCTGCGCCACACATGGCCAGCCCACCTAAGTCTACTCTCTCTCATCTTATTGCCTATAGGTGCCACACTTAAGTTTTTCCGAATGTATTCATTTCAAATTCAATCCCTTCTTGTCTTGCCACTCATCCATCTCAACATCCTCATCTTTGCTACACTCATTCTATAGGTATATTGCTTTTTGACCACCCACATTCTGCTATATAGAGCAAAGTTGGTCTCATAGTTGTCTAATAGAACTTGCTCTTCAATTTCATTGGTATGCAGCGACCACATAAAATTTCGGTTGCACATCTCCACTTTGCCCAGCCAGCTCTAATTTTATGTGCGACATTTTCTATTTTTCTAGATTATCGACCCAAGATATCGAAAGTGTACACTGTTTGGTAGTTCCTAGCCGTCAATCTTAACTTGTTCCGCATCTCTACTCCTATTATTACCAAACTTGCATTCTATATACTTTGTCTCAGTTCGACTAATTTATAAACCTCTAGATTCTAGAGCATCCCTCCAAAGTTCTAACTTTTTGTTGACGTTGTTTCGGGTCTCATCAATTAAAACTGTCTTCTGCAAACAACATGCACCACGGTACCTCATTTTGTAGGTGCCTAGTTAAATCGTCCATAACTAAGACAAAGGTACGGGCTAATGTTGAAACCTGATGTAGACGTATTGTCACTGAAAACTCGCTCGTCTCTTCACTAGTTATTCGTATGCTAGTTGGCACTCCATCGTATATATCTCTCACTAAGTTGATGCAGTGTCTGGAAACTCCTTTCTTTTCCGACCCCCACCAAATCAAATCTCGAGGTACTCTATCATAAGTCTTCTTTAGATCAATAAAGACCATATGGAGGTCTTTCCCTTCGCCCTAAACTTCTCAATCAGTTGCCTAAGTAAGAAAATAGCTTTGGTTGTTAACCTCCTTGACATAAAACTGAATTGGCTTTTAGATACACTTATTTCACGCCTTAGGTGTTTCTCAATCACTCTCTCCCAGAGCCTCATAGTATGGTTCATAAGTTTGATCCCTCAATAGTTCGCACAATTCTGTACGTCTCATTTGATAGTGTAAATAGGTACCAGAATACTTTTCCTCCATTCGTATGGCATTTTCTTTGTTCTCAGCACCTTATTGAACAACTTAGTCAACTAGTCAATGCCAATCTCCCCCATACATTTCTAAACTATTGGAATTATGACCTTTTAAGTCCCTTTTGTGCAATACCAGCACTGTTCAGAGTCATAGTGGAAGTGACCAAAAACATAATCGCTACCAGGATCTTTGTGTATTAGGATCTAGATAACTTGAAATAACCCCAATTGAATGAGGCGAAGTTCTTGGACCATATTGTAAACTGAGAGGATTGAGGGTTTCCTCTAGTCAGGGTCACTACGTTTGTGTTTGTCTCATGTTATGGAGCCAGGGTTTGGAGATCAGTGGATCCTGGATTGTTTGAGATATTTTGTGTATAAGCCCTATGTGAACTAAGTTGGGTTCTTAGAGGACATAAGCCCAAATCCCTGACAAATGTAGCTTCCTCACAGCATGTGCATGAACAATCACATTTTGGGAAGCCATTCTGATAAGGTAAGATCCACCTATCAGAACTGTGCACACGTGCTGAGAGAGGACCCCGTATCTGCAAGAGTTCATGTCCTTAGGAGGAATCTGTAATCCACTGAACAACCTGGAGTCCGACCACCTATCGGTTAGCTTTGACAGGTTCACTCATATCCTGACTTCAGTTTATGACTTATAGGGGTGGTCCGAGAAATTGGATTGAGTTTTCGGGTCTAGCCCACTGGAGTACCCTATAGCCCAACCTCTTGTGGGATCCTAATTTCCCATCCAGATTTATGAGAAGTGCAAGACTATGATATTTTAATGGAAAATGGTTAAAACTGTTTTATCATGATTTTAGATAATTTTTAAAAGAATTATAATGAAGAAAAATGTTTTATTAAATTTGTTGTATATTAATTCCACATGAGGACGCCCACATGCGTGGCGTGTGACACACAAATGGCCAATGGGTGCCATACGTGCAAAGCTCAGGGCTGCCACGATTGCCCTCTTTGTATGAGGTGATAGGCCTATCTTTGGCGTGAAGACCTTGTTTGGTTGTTACATATAATCTTGATATGTGTAGTGCTTTGTAGCACATGTGTGGGACACTTGCGGTGGCATGTGTTTATACATGTGTATATGTAGGGTTTTCATATTTTCCATAAAATCATTAATATTGTAATTTTGTGATTTGAGGACCGTTAGACTTTCAAAATGAGGAGTTGTGATTGGTGGTAAGAGGATAAGGGGGACACACCATGACATACGATGATGTAATGTTCCCCCATGATAATGATACTCCATTAGGTTAAGTGGAGTGCAAGTTTAACAAAATAGGTGAAAGAAGAGGGTGGCACGCCACCCGCATTTGTTTTTCAAATTCAAGTTCAAAATTGATGGTGATGGTTGGATGTCTTAAAAATCAATGGTTGAGATGTGATCAAACTGAAAATTAAGGTTTGATGGGCACTTATGCAATTTTTGGAGTTTTGGAGGTGTTTTATGGGCATGGTGATAAGGGTGTGCTTGATCATCACCATTCATGTGATAGCTACCAATAGTGATTGATAAGGCTAAGTATTTGGCCTCTCAACCCTTGGATCACTCAATGGGCGTCGAGCTCTAATCTAGGTTATATGCCCACATATGGAACTTTTATAAATAGGACCCATCTCACCTCATTGAACAATCGTTTGCCTCATTTTTATTTCTTGATCTCTGGTCTTCAAGCGGTCCACGCTCCACTCCCATTGCTCCTTCTCTTCATCTCACACTTGTCTCTCCCCCCTTAGTGAGAATTAATGCATGCTCTCCACTCCATAATGGAAGCATGGCTTCGTGAGCCTCATCACGCACTCCTCCATTGGAACAACCTACTATTTTGAAAGAGTATGCTGCTGTAATGACTCACATCATTAAGCTCTGTCACTTCATCGTTCCATCTTGAAGTAGTTTAGTCTCATGTTAAAGAGCCTTCATAATATGCTTTCTTATGGTGTAGTTTTGAGCCTATTAAGTGCAAACTGTTATGTCATCTATGTTGCTGTAAATGCAAGTATGATGTGCATAATAGTGAGCTTCTAGTGTGCCTCATGCACCAAGCCATACCCATTTAATCCCATTTAGTGTTTGGATGTTTGGACCAAACCGTAGTGCACAGCCTAATTCTTTTTTAGCCCGTTTTGGCTCCATTTTCTCCCACTTTTGGCTCTCATTGTTCTGTGATCCACGTGATGTTCCTTTGATCTCTTTTATAGAGTGATGTCGCTTCTAGTGTGGTTCTTGTGTGATTGCTTCTCGAGATTAGATTACAACGACGCTTTCTTGCGCTATTGGTTCCGAGTGATAGCAAGGGTTGTACCCATATCGATGCAGTATTCGCACGGTGAATATTTTAAATCGGCTTCCCATAAGTGATATCAAACTCATGCGCATTTATTTATTTAGTCTTTGCTTTTGATGTATTTTGATTCAATCATATTGTAAAAGAGCAATGCGCATGTTGTAAGGTTGTTATTGTGAGTCAAGGACTATTATGTTTGTAATACTCTTGATTGTAGTAATTTGGAGATTTCCGAAGGTTCAATTGAAGCTTTTGTAAAGTCTTTTTAAATTTTTTTATTTTGAATACCTTGTGTAAAACCCCTGGTTTTAAGCTCTATCAAGATACTATCTGCTCTGAAAACCTTTCGTATCTTCATCCTTTTCAAAGCTTATTTCACGTCTAATATCCTAATCGTACAAATGTATATATGACCTCTGCCCTCATTTATGCCAATAATTCCTTTTGCCCCTATTTTCCTGTTGTGTTCATCATTTAATAATTTCTTAAATTAAACTCTCCACCATTCGTTGAGGTGGTGTTATTCTTGATGAACATCAATTGCATTTGGCTTGTCCTATAGTTTGAAGGTAATTTGTGTGCATTGATTTAAAAAGTAGCCTGCTTGGGCAGGCCAAGGGGACCTGGGTGCATTGCTTAGGCATAGGTGGCCTACAAAAGGGGGGTAGTTAGGTTCATATGCAACGTAAATCCCATTTGAACTATTTTAGAGAGAGAAAAACGTCAAAAAGTTGAGATTTTGTGATTTCCATAAGATTGAAGGATTTCTCAAAGTTTCGAAACATCGATTCAAATATCTCCCTTTGAGTTTGGATTTACGTTTGCTTTTACTTTTGGAAATCTTTTAGGCCTATTGGAGGGTTTTTTAGAAGATTTTGATATTGGAAAACATCTCAATTGTGGAAGTTTGAAGATCATGCAATCATGGTTAGTGAAAATTTTGTTTCTCAAATTGATGTATTAATTTGAGATGTCTTCTTCAGGTACTAATAAAAGTGGTAATCAGGAAATACAACTATAACCCAAGCCCTTTATATCTAAATTGCATAAGATGCAATTATTGTGAGAAGGATACAAATGGTGGTATAAACCATTCAAGAAACATCTTGCTGGTATCAGGGGTGATGTTGCCCCTTATAAAAAAGGTTCCTGATGCGATTAGGGAGGAGATAAAAAATTATATAAATATAGTAAAAAAGAAAAAAGAAGAAAGAGAGACATGCATTGCAAAGCTAAGGTTTGGGGGTTCGTGTTAATTATGATTTTGATGATGGTGATGAGGAGGGGTGTGATGAGGTGAAGCAACCTACTATGTCCCAGGCCCAGACTAGGGGGAAAGGAAAGGGAGTTGCAGTTGGTTTTAGGGGTGGGGGGCCTAAGAGGCCTCGGGTTTGGGGGCCTCTATAGATTCGTTTTTTTCGAGTTCTGACTTTGAAGTTGTAGGTGAGAAAATGAAGAAGCAAACAACCATTGAAAACAAAATCAAGAAGGACGAGAGAGAGAGAGAGAGAGAGAGCTACTTCGTACATTGCGCAGTGGTTTTATGAGGTAGGCATTCCAATTTGAGCTTGGGTTGAAGCCCCCAACCCCATATGGGCTTTCATAGACTCTTTTGAAAAAAGAGATGAATGTCACGAGGGAGATTGTGGAGTCACAGAAGGATGCATGCGCTTTGTATGGGGTTTCTGATATGACTGATACTTGGAGTGACAAGAAGAAAATAAGTCAGATGAATTTGTTTGTGAATTGTCCTTTAAGGATTGTTTTGATGATAGCCATGATACCCATTACATATTTAAAGTGCTAGAGAAGAACAACAAGGGGGTTGGGGAGCAGCATATTATAAAGGGTGTCACAAATAATGCTGCTCCTAATGTTGTTGTTGTTAATTTGTTGTGCATATTGTTGCGCATAGCCTACCCTCATATCTTTTGGACACCATGCGCAATACACTATATAGACCTCATGCTTGAGGCTATTGGAGGTTTGAGCGAGATTGCAGGTGCAGCTAAGAAGGCCAGGTCAGTTATAGCTTTCATTTATAAACACACCCTTACTCTCATCATGATGTGTGATTTACAAAGAAGAAGGAGATAGTGAGGTTGGGGATCACGAGATTTGCTACTTGGTACCTATGTCTACATAACAAACATTCGAGGAGAGTTCAGTTGAGGCAGATGTTCACCTCTGATGATTGGAGAGCATGCAAATGGGTCAGGGTTCAGAAAGGGAAGAAGGTGAGACATATTGTGCTATTTAAGGATTTTTGGCTAGTGGTGGAGGATGCTCTTAAAGTATTTTTTCCTCTTGTCAAAGTCCTTCGCATGGTTGACAGTGACAAGCCCACCATGAGCTACATACATGAGGCAATTAAAAGTTGCAAGAGAGAGATAGCCCCCAATTTGGATAATGATATGAACTACTATGAGCCAGTTTGGAAGATTATTGATGAGAAGTGGGATAGGCAGCTACATTGACCATTGTATACTGTTGGTTATTATTTAAACCCAACTTTCATTATGTTGATAGCGATATACACAAATGACCCAATTATGATTGGATATAATAAGTATTTGGATGTGCTAGTCTCTAATCAAGATATCTAAGACTATATGCATTGATGAGCTAATAAGTTACGAGTGGGCATTGAAGTCTTTTGGGAGTCCAATGGCGGTGAGACAAAGGACCAAAATTGATCCAGTTAACCCAATCCTCATGTTCAAGTTTCATGTTTATTGTTTGTTTTTTATATTTCATATGTAATCGTAATTCATTATCAATTTGTGGCCAATTGGTGGAGCCAACATGGGTGTAGTGCTCCAAACTTACAAAAGTTGGGCATTTAGATCCTAAGCCTAACCACTACTCCCTCTTGTTGTGAGCGGAATTGGAGTACTTATGAGATGTTAATCTATTTTATTAGTTTGCCGTTTACGAATTTGTATTAGTAATTAGTAATTACTAATTACTATGTCAATTGTAAATTTGTGACATTAATTAGTTTCATTTGATTTTAGTAGATTCATACAAAGCAAAGAAACAAGCTTGAAACAAAGAGGCTCAATGATCTAGTTTATGTAAAATTCAATCGATACTTGAAGGGCAGATTTGCTGAGAGAAACCCCCCCCCCCCCCCCCCCCACGATTAAAAAACATGGATAATGCTCTGGAGTGATTGGTTGATGATGATGAGGTCGAGGGGCATAAAGAATTGACATAGGATATGGTCATTGAGACCTCAGGGACAACAGCCGACCCTCCTAGGGTCACTAGATCTTCTTCATAAAGGATGGGTGTGGCGGAGGAAGAGGGGGAAGTAGAGGCAAATCCAGAAGGCACATACGACCCTCCTAGGGACACTAGATCTTCTTCACAAAGGATGAGTGTGGCGGAGGAAGAGGAGGAAGTAGAGGCAAATCTAGAAGACACAGAGAAGGACGACCATTATGTTGAGGAGGGAGATGATTCCGATGACAATGGGCTCAACTCCGATGCATATGATGCTGCTGACCCTTCCTTTTTGGATGATGCTTGATGAGTGATGACCAATTTGAGTCTTCAATTCTATATTTCTTTCCTTTTTCTTTTCCTCCTCTTATATGTATGTATGAACTATGGATATGGATTATGGAGGAGTGTATGTGGATTGGGGACTACGAACATTTGATATGTCATATGTGTTACTTCTTTCCTTTCCTTCTTGATGAATTGATGACTGAATTCGAAAATTTTGAATGTTGGATTATATTTTCCTATTTTTGCTGTGTATGGAGTCTATGGAGTATGGAGTATGGACTAATGGTCTGAAATGTATGGATTATGGATATTATGTTATGTATTCTTAATGTGCTATATGCCTCAATATGCAATTTTTAGTTTTTACACAGAATGTGGCCCTAAAACAGTTGGATCAGACACCTTCCTATGCTTCATATTCTACCTGGGCCGCCTAGGCGCTCGGCGGCTTAGAAACCCCCGGTCGCCTAGGCGCCACCCGCCATTTTTGGAAACACTGCTTGTATGTTGTATTTGGCACGCTGTGGGATCATTCTGAACTGATCTTCAATTGATGGTCCAATGGTTTTTGTTACATGCTTAATGTGAACTTTTTGCATACTATTGCAATCTATTGTTTCATTATCTCATTTGGTAAGAAGTTGTATAATAGATTGCATTATCTCATTTAGTAACAAGTTGTACTATTTAGTAACATTCCTTATTTTAGTTTTATATGCTCGTGCTCAAATTTAAACTATTCAATCTATTGTTTCACTAACTCATTCAGTAACAAGTTGTACTATTTAGTAACATTCTTTATTTTGGTTTTATATGCTCATGCAAAATTTAGTTTGCGGACTTTTGCAGGGTGACTTAGGCTATATGTATCTTGATTTGTACTCCAGGAATGGTAAGTATCCAGGTTGTGCACATTTTGCAATCAAAGGTGGAAGGCAGTTATCAGAAATGAACTATCAACTGCCTGTTAGTTCCTTTCTTCTTCTCTTTTTGCATTCAAGCCATACGTAAACATTTCTTTGATGTAGATGTGGAAACCCTGTGATATATTGTATGTGCGAACTCCATGCTTCATTCCTTCGCATGTTCAATAATTTTAAGACCTTCATTGAAGGGCATCATTTAAAGTTTCTGGTGCCTGTAAAGTTATTGTTATCATGACAGTCGGTTCTGGCTCTTCCCACTACTTTTGTCTTAGATAGTCCCTATTTAGGATCAAACTCCAGTTCAAACAGTTTAAGGAGCTGAAAGAATGTTAAGCAAATAAAAAAGAGATCAGTATGTTTCCAATGTAATGTATGTGCTTATTCTGAACCTTGACTAGCTTGCTGAACATACCAAACTCCAATGTTAAAAGTATTTTGTTCAATATCTTATAAATGATACTGGCAATAAATTACAATCACTAAAGGAGATCCATGTTCTCAATTTTGAAATGGAAGATGTTTCTTCTCATTTTGAATTATATGGTGTTCTGCCCATTGATTAGCATAGATCAATATTTGTGTTCTCTGTGATGGATATGTGATATTTCTAAACCAAAGATGTTCAAAGCTCCATTTTCCTTCAATTGAGAATGAGCTTGCTAACTCCATTGAGTCTTGATAGTAAATTTCACTCTTTGCCAACAAATAACTTAAAAAGTGTACTGATATAAAGAACAACTCTTAATTGTGTTAAGTTTTGGTGAATGCCATGAATGTCATGATTGAGTGTTCGGAGTCACATAAGACTAACATAGAATCTGGATGTCTTGCACAACACATAAAAAGGGGGAAAAAGAAAAACAGAAGTCCCTTAAAATCAACTCTTAATTGTATTAAGTTTTGGTGAATGCCATGAATGTCATGATTGAGTGTTCGGAGTCACTTAAGACTAACATAGAATCTGGATTTCTTCAACAACACATAAAAAGGGGGAAAAAGAAAAACAGAAGTCACTTAAAATCTATACTTCTTTTGCAACATAAAATGAAGTTTTTCATATGATTTTGTGTTATAAACTCGGGATGAACTCTTTTCTTTCTCTTAGGGATGCGGCACTAACACTCCTGAAGTTGATTACGATGGAGGATACGGTGCTTATCAAAAAGAAAAAGGTGGAGGATGCAATTGTGAGTTTATTTGAGGTACTTGAGGAGTATTTTGAACTTTGATGGATGCTTGAAAAACCTAGGGAGCATTTACAAGAATTAGAATGCAGCCGGAGAAGAACAGCGGATGAATCTCCATTAGAATTTTTTGCTAAATCTTTACCATTTCTCTTTTGGGAAATTCATGATTGCCAGTATGTGACCTGAGAAAGATTATGGCCATGGTGGGCCGTCAATGTAAAGTCATCTGTTTGAACTGTGATGTTTGAAGAGCGGATTCCACCAAACATGTCATTAATGCTAAGTGTAAGGACCATTCCCACACCATCACTGTCCAAGGCATTGACGGGATGGAGAAACCCTATGATGTATATGTCATACAAATCCTTCTCGTTTATAGTTTGGGAATAAGTTTTTGGAGGTGTACACTTCTACATACCATTGCAAGACATATTGATTGAGCAACCAATGTTTATTTTTTTCTTGTCATTCTCTTCAAGGATAACAATGTTGGGAAAGTTAAGGTACATCAAGTTTAGTCTCAATCAGAAACCAGGGGAATTAAATAGAGAAATAAAGGTCATAGGGTTAAGTAGGTTTCGCCAATGGTGAAGGATTCCTTCCAACTTCTCTGGCTTGGATGACCCCTCACTGATAACCCATCTAATAACATTAATGGAATACCCTTCCACAGTGAATGTGCCAGAGAAAAACTTAACAAAAATCTTTAGACCCATTAAGAGAAATTTCACTCATGTCTTTGTATTATCATTAAAGTATCATTCAGCCTGGGGAAGGTCGGGGGGTCTTTTTCAGAAAAGGGAAAGGCCTTGAGGGTCCTGGCTATTCTATCTCTACTAAAACTCTCACTATGGGATGGGCCCAAGTTCTCGGAGGATGACCATCAAAACTAAGCTTGAAAAATCCCTATGGCGAATGAGCACCATCTAAAGCTACGAATAAATGCTCAAAGTAGTGGTGCTTTCTAGAAACCACATCCCTGTGAATGTGCTGTAACATCCATAAAAGAAACATGAGAACAAGAATCAGTGAGGAAGGCATCGAACTGGAGACAAAGCACCATAGCGCAAGGGTCGAGAAGTAGCAATGATTTTACCACCCCTATGAAAGTTCAATGCTTAATTGCAAGAAATTTTGATTTAATTTTATTTTCGGGCATGGTCCGCCTCTCATTTTAACTTCTACTTCTAAGTTGAACTTGCAGTATAGGTAGCCAACTCTTGCATGTTTCTATTTATAGTTCCAGTAAACAAAAATTTCTTATAGTATTTTTTTGTGACAATTTTTTCAGGTGGTAGCATTAGTTTGCAATTTCTCGGCTCCATATGGATCATCAACTCCCAGGCTCAACCACTGGGAAGTAGAAACGCTCTTTCATGAGTTTGGACATGCTCTCCATTCCTTGCTATCACGCACGGTATGTGATCACCTTGATATCATGGAGCATATCTATGACCTTTTTAAAACTGGCTGGCTGACTTGCTCCACAGCAAATCATATAGGATTATCAACATTTTTCGGGTACCAGGATGGTCATTGATTTAGCCGAGACACCTGCAAACCTTTTTGAGTACGTCTAGATCGTACTTTTGTTTAGTTGCTTTACTTTCCTGTGTTTATTAAATGTACATGTAGTGAGTGCCATAGTTTGATATATGATTCTAGTACTACAAGGGAGCCGCGATGAGATAACTTGGATCAGTGTTTTGGTGATTTCATAGGTATTATGCATGGGATTATAGAGTTCTAAGGACATTTGCTAAACATTATTCAACTGGAGATACAATACCTGAGAAACTGGTGGCATCGATGAATGGTGCGAAAAGAATGTTTGCGGCGACGGAATTGCAGCGCCAGGTAAGGCCTTGGAGACTTGATTTCTCAAAGGGATTGATTTGAGAGTATCAAAGACCCACAATTTTTGCCTCAATCATATGAGTGTTAACAAGTCGATTTACTTCTGATTGGATTGACTTCCTGCCCTTGCTTGAGTAGTAGCTTTATTTTTTCCTTTTGAATGTTAACTTGGGACCTTGGTAGGATAGGAACTCCGGATGGCATGTTATGGCACCCTGCCACCCTGACCACCCGGGCCTAGTGGCCATTCCTAACTTGATCCATTGCTTTTTGGGTGGGAACGTTTCTTGCTTGATGATAATTGACTGGTTGCCCCTCAGATATTATTTTCAGTAATGGACCAAACACTATTTGGGGAGCCGACACCCTCACCACGGGACACAGTTGCCATCGTTGCCGAACTGAAAAGGCAGTACACTAGCTGGAGACACGTTGAGGGAACACACTGGCATACGCGATTCAGCCATCTTATAAATTATGGTGCAGGTATGTAATTCACCAAAAAGAAGAACACATGCATTTATCCCAGCCTGCTTTTTGGTGGGTGCGAAATATATTCTCTCAACTTGAAAATTTTAAACTCTCGATGGTTCTGGTGGTGTAGGTTATTACAGCTACTTGTATGCAAAATGCTTTGCAGCAACTATATGGCAGGATGTGTGTGTTGAGGATCCATTGTCAAGATCTGTAGGTGAAGCCCTCAGAACTCAATTTTTACAGCATGGAGGTGCAAAGGACCCGTCCCATCTTCTAAGGGATTTTGTTGATGATGGTATTCTAAAACCTTGTAAGGGGGGAATTGTGCCCAACACAAGCAGCCTCTGTAGGGAATTGAACTTGCCACCATTTCCTGTCTATAGATAGTATCCTTTACCATTTTCAGTTGTTAAAAGTAACCAAAACATCTGTATTATTATAGCTTTATTGGTTCCATTTTTTAATGTTTCATGGGGAAGAATATAGATGCCCGGTATAAAAATAACTTGGAATAGCGGATAAACTTCAAGAGGAAGCCTGTTAAGATTTTGACATTAATATGAAGCTTAATCCACTGGCATTGAATGGGCTTTTTGAGCTGGAGTATGTAACTTGGCTCGAACTAAGACCCATGATGGTGTTTGACTAGTGGGCCCAAGCCTGTTCCATTAAATTATAAATGTAAGAGTCTTATTTTTGAACTTTACTAAACCTAATGTCAAGTTGATTTAGGGCCCATTGCTGAATGAGGGGGCAATCTAGGACAGAAGAAAATCACATCAAAATTTTGAAGAATTTTGAAGTCCCACTCTTATCCATCATGAAAGATCTTCAATGTTATGTATGAACCTTTCAGAATCAAAATTTTCTCATTCCTTTTACTTAATTTGGACGGGTGCACTCTCATTACGTTAATTAGTTACCCAAAAAGGGATCAGAGTGATGCATGCATGGTGCCACGAAAACTAGTATATTCAGTTCACCCTTTAACTGAGGGCTCTAGGGTTGTAGAATGTAGAACTTGATATCGATGTCTTCCAAACATCCTTTGCTCCATCTCCCTAAACCATGAACGGGGAGAAGTATTGCCATCATTTCTCTCGATTTAAGTCGCTAATAAGTGTTCTAATCCTAATTATTAAGATAAGATAATCTTTATATATGTATATAGAAAAAGGATCCGTCTTCTCTAGTATTAGAAGGTCACAACTCTCTGGCAGCTAGATTTGAAGCAGGGCGACTTTTAACTTTCATACAAGGAGAGGACGTCACCAACTTTTGGCATTTACCCTACATTATGGAAAAAGTACATATAAGTGTGAGGCTCTTGAGGTTCTTTAGATGCTCAAATATCTTCAAATTAATCATTTCGTCATCAAGATGGATGGACATGAGGAAAAACTGGGTTTCAAGTTTTGAAAATAATTCATCTTATAATGTATATTTGGACCGTCAATTTTCAAAATTTTTAAGTTTTTATAGATCTGTTTGATCTACACTATTTTTGAAGTTTTAAATGTTATAATTAGAGATGAAAATATATTTTGAGGCTATCACAAAGAAAAGATTTTTAGTATTGAAACTACATTTTTTGACACTATTTGAAGGTGCTCCTTATTTTGATTGTTTAGAGCCTCAACCTTTTAGACCTTCACTATCTAAAGAAAGCTCCCTTCCATATTTTTTTCATTCTCCTTTACCTTATCCCTTCTCGTAGCCGAAGCTCTCCCTTCCTCCCATTCATTGTCTCTTTCCATCTCTCTCTATCTCTATCTCTATCTCTATAAACATTTCTCCCTCGTAGCCCTCTCCCACCCCTGCAATCTGCAGAAGAAAGAAAAAAAAGGGAAGCTTTGCACCTCCCAATTTGAGGCCTCTTCTCCAAAGACAGGCCAGGCCGACTCTGACAAATTGGTGAGATTATGGTTAATTTCTCCCTATTCTCTATCTATTGTTAAAGTAATACATTGCTGCTTGTGTAACTCCATCAAGAAAGTGCCTATCACATCACTATTTTCTTTTCCTTTTTCTTTTAAGAAAGGGTTTATATAAGGTTGCAAACTTAAAATGTATAATTAAAGATGCACTTCAAAAATCTATCGAAAAAGGCTGTTTTAATATTAAAAACGCTCTAATTGATCATCTCAACATCGAGATGTATGAAAATAAAAAATTGATTCCCAAAAATAGTGTATCTTGCAGTACATTATCTAGACCGTATATTTTTAAGATTTCATGTGTATCGATCGACTTGATTTTAACTATTTTTGGAGTTTAAAATGTTATAATTAGATATAAAAATAAATTTTCGGATAATCCTAAAAAAAATTTACACCAAAATTACATGTTATGATAAATTTTGGAGGTATGCCTTAATTGGATTGATTGAGGTTGCAACCTTATGGAAACTACATCCTTCTTTTAATATGTCATTTTTAGGGTTTATCATTCCCATATAACTGGTGGAGCTTGGGCCACAAAATGTGGCCTAACAAGCCCGGCCTCATTTTATCATCTTTTTGCATTGTTTTTTTTTAATTTTACCTGGCGTGGCCCAGCACTCAAGGGAAATAGGGCTAGCCCGGCCCGCCAACCCTACATTTAGGATTAATTCAAATCCTAGAACCGGTTTTCGTCCTAATCACGACGTTTTAAACACCGGTGTGTGTGCCTAGGGGTGAGATCGGGGTCGGATCTGGCTAGATCCATATCTGGATTTGAATAGGGCTGTCTAATGTATGTGCAAGCCGTTCCAATGCTGGTCCAATATTTCTATATGGTCTACCAGTTTACCTATTTGCACCTTTTTATTTCGCTGTAAATACCCATTTTGCCTTTTTCTATTTTCGTCTTTTTCTAATTATATAGGGGCATTAGTGTCATACTCAACTGAAGAGAAGAATAAGCCCTACAAAGAAACGAAATTTAGAGAAAGAGATCTGGATAGGGGAATTTTTGTGCTGCCTCTCTCCACCGTTTCTTGGGTTTTTTCCCGGCGATTTTGGACGGCACATCCCGCCATCAATCCGAAGCCCAAGTAAGTATACTAAACCTTTATTTTGCTTAAGTGATTTATAGTTGGAAAAAGTAGGAGAAATTTGTGGGTGTTTGTAAGATATCTTGTAATGAGCCTTGAATCTCTAGATTGGTGATCATTCAATCTCATTCCAGTATCCATTCCATCAACTGGGGGATGCTCTTCCATGCTTTTTTCGTGGGAATATTTTTTTTTTCTGTTGTAGGTTTTTTTAGTCTAAATGTGATTTCTTAGATTGTTGACTTCTCTTTTGATATTTTTTTTTTTTTTTACTGTAGTGGTTTCTCTAAATTTTCTGTTGTTTGTTTTTTTAAAAAAAAATTTTTTACTGTTATTGATGGTTTGAGATTTAATGTGTACCGGTTGGTCCAAATTTAGTGTTATTTGAACTATTTACTATTTAGTGATATTTCTGAATTTTTTTACTGTTTTATTTCTTCTTTCCTGGTAAATCTATTATTCCACAGTTTGGAGGCACCTGGTTTAGTCTTTCCCTACGTTTAACCTTGTTTTATCAGATCAGTGTAGTAGTAAAAATGTAGGAAAAGACTTAACATCTTGATGAAAAGATTTTATCGGTAAAACATTCTCCTACACTTTTCCTTTTTTTTTATTTAGATTTTTCCTTATTTTCTATAATTTTCTCTAGTTTCCCATGTTTCCTTATTTTACCATTTTGCTTAATTGTTAATTTATTACACTGGTCCGACCGGTGAACCAGTCCAGTTCAGTGGTCGGACTCGGTCCAACTGAATCGGTGCCCGTGCCCTCACCAGGTTTGGTTTCCGGTCCAGTCTTGAAGACGTCGCATTAATGAAATATAGTTAACACTAAAATAAAGCAAAATTTTTACTCCTTGGTCACCCCAAAATGTGCCTTTTACAGAATATTAAAAGAAATGGACAGACTCCAATAAGATAATCCCAGAAGACACGAAATGAGCAACCGAGTTCGTTTTCTTTTATTAAATATGGGTTGTAGAGGAGTTCCAAGAGGTTACAAAGACACTTGTTTCATTTACATCCAAACTCAGTTCAGTTAGGAACACTCTTGATCAGTTAGTCCAAATATAGGAAGTGTACGCAGGACAACCTTGCTAAGCCTTGATGGTCTCACCCTATTGATATTTGACGAATGAGTTTTCACTGCAGTACTTACTGAGGACAAAACTTTGTGCAACCCCCTGTCATGGGGCTGCTTTGTGCTAGCTTTACCATATTCTAATTCCAAAAGGATATTAGGGTCCCCCAAAAGGGTCTCCTCTCAATGATCATAGTGCTTTTATAACTTTGACGAGAGAATTTGTTAAGAAAAATATGATTTTGTGATGATTTGTTGATCTTGTGCCTTTAATTTTCCTTTTTGATGGTTGATGATGTAATGAAACGGATTTGGAACTTAGGATTAAATCTCATTGGAATTTGAATTGTTGTCATTCGAATTTTAATCGTTTGAGATTCAAAATAAAACTTCAATTGGTTTGACTGCTGTTGATGTTTGGCGGTTGATGTCCTAAACTTCAGTTAGGACTAAATCTCTTCTTCCAAAGCAGAATTGCACCACATTTGAATCACTACCAAGGACCCAAGGCTCCTCGTGCCTATTCTTGGCACCAACTTGCCCCACTTCAGTTCTATCCTCTCAGGATCTTTGGTCTCATCCATAAACTGTTGTCATATTCCAACAACATCCATCACTAAAATTTCAGAATCTGACCAAAAGTGAGAGTTCTCCAGCGACAATATCTTATCTAACCAGGTTTTCCAAACCCCATACCACCAGAATATCCCCTGACATGGGATATACTCTCGTTTAACCAACCATCAGTTAAAAAAATCTCAAAATGAATCACAGACAATTGTCTCAGCTTTGGTCTCCTGCAACATAATGGCAATGATCAAATAATCGTAAACCACTCACCTCACAACATGCTTAAACTCTTGACCCCTTCATCACCATCATCCGAGCCTTATTTCAAGTTTCCAACTATTTGGGTTGGCCACATCAATCCTATTCCACCATTCTACTCTATCAAGGGCCATACCATCTGTCAGACAATAAGTTATTGTATCTCTTCTCACTACTTCCATCCACGTATTTTTGGACCTTCCCCATACCCTTTTAGAGCCTTCCACTTGAACCAAATCATCCCTCATAACCCCTTAGTTCTACGTGCACATGGCAAGCCCACCTAGTCTAACTCCCGACCCCTTGATAGTTTATAAATTTTATTTGATAAATTCTGGATAAGGGGTTTCTTTCATTCGATAATATACAAGGTGCTTGTTCATTTCTTCTTCTTTTTTTTTCTCAAATAAATTCATCATCAGGTTGTAATATGTTTAATAAGTGGAGAACTCCCTCTTTTGTCTGTAGTTTCACCAAATAAAAATAAAAATAAAAGGATAAAAAAACTAGCTCTTTCTTCTCATCTAATTCATGAGAAACATCTAGTAATTGGTCAATTCTATTACCTTAAAGAAACAACAGAATTGTATCCAAGGTGTACAGGTCTGCAAGGGTCGTATAACTGCTCTTTGCATGTCTTTGTTGTTGTAATGGTTGTGTGGGATGTTTGATTCATTGTGGTTGATGCTTGAGTCAAAAGAGGGGGCTACTAATGTGTTAGTTAGTGGCTTTCTGATTGTTAAGTTAGATTGGGATATCTTTCAAGTTTGAAGATTGTTGATTATGGTCTTGCATGTTGCTTGTAGGCATGAGTGAGTCGTTTGGTATCCAGATCAGCTCCAATCTGGTCAATAGGCTTATCATCGAAGATGAAGTCAAGAAGAAGCCCAAGAAGGCCCCCGCCCGAAACAAATCAAGGAAATGGCCTCTTCCTCTGCCGCAACAAGCCCCCAATCTTAGCCATCATCATGACGACTCCACAATCAAGATGATGCCCCCATTCTTACCTTTACCACTGAGGCAGCTTCCCCTTGAAATTCCCTCTGCTACTGCTGCGAATGAGGAAGAGATTAATGCGATCCATGAAGTTCTTAGGGAGAGTGAGAGGGTGTTGGATAGGCTGCAGAAACAGGAAGAGAACTTGGCAGAGCAAGTAACACTGAGGGCAAAGGAGCTGCGAGACAAGGAGTTCAAGCTTCCGTACCAGAAGCCAGTGCCATGCTTGAGGGAGAAGGATGCGTGCCTCCAATGTTACAAGGAACACTCAAAGGATAATCCTCTCAAATGTGCTGATGTAGTCAATGCATTCGCTGACTGTGCTCGCAGGGCTAGAGAGCAACAACAGCATGCTGTCTAGTATTTCTGCACTTGAGAAAGTAAGAACTTCACTTTCATTGGGAGTGAAAATTGATTATCAGAGTTTCGAATTGTGGTAGAAAATGATGCTATGGCTTTTACTTGGGGATGAGGATATAGGTATCAACTGAAGATGGAACTACTCCATTCCCATTTGTTTTCTAAGCGGTTAAAAACTTTCTATCATAGCTTGGAAGAGAGATGAAATCAATCTTGTATTCTACAAAAACAATCCCAAAGAGGCTATTTTGTGATCATTGGCGCATATAGCAAAAACTTCTTGATTTTTCATAAATAAATCTGTTATGAGACTCCAATAATTTGATTTCATTTATTTCGGAATTCGGGGAATTGAGATTTTGTCCAAAAGTGCAATGAAACTCATGAAAGTAACAAAACCATGTGCATGGGAAACTTTGGGCACATTGTCGGATCACAATGAGCACTGCGATATTCGAAGAAAGAGTGTTGTGGGGAAGGGAAGGTACAATGATCTATATGATCATGAAGAAACCATGATAATGACGGTCATCACCATCCAATCCAATTGATGGACAGAGGTGGAGAGAGAAGGTAGGACGTCCAAGTCATTTCATTTTCTGGAGGGTCCCAGTGTCTCAGTACCTCTTTGTCCAATTAGTTTGATGTTGATCGAAGTGTTTGATCATACGGATCACAATATGTTTGATATTATACTAAATGTATATCAAAACGTTAGAATAAAGCTCGAATGATGGTGATGATGTAATAGAATGCTAAACATCGAGGTATGTTATTGAAATTTGGAGAAGTACGTCTATGTGATGTGGATGCTTGAAGGGTACACAAGCATTCTCACCCTCTCAGAGTTATAGGTCAAAAGAAAATGTTGACAACTGAAAGTAAATCTCTTCTTAGTGAGTTTTCCTTTGTTGACTATTTCATAATCTATGTGGTGGCCTATTTAGCAAGTTGACGGCTCCATATGTGCAAATTAGTGAAGAAGACTGCAATCATATTATTTTGTTCTTTACCAGAATCATAAAGATAATCTGATCATGAATCTTATTAGTGGAAAAGTCTGTTGAATTTAATTATGTTTATCGAGTACCGTATTAATAGCAGCAGGGGCCTCATGCTTCCTATGGTTAGCTTTGAACCTGACATAACACAAATAGTGGGATTTTTTTATACCTGACAAATTATAGCTGTGATCATTAGACATCATGAAGTGAGTCGTTCGTTAGCTAAAGATAACTTGTAATGTTGGTATTGTTAAGGTATAATGGATTTGAAAATTACTGGTTTTGTTGATGCAATTTTGTAGGTGATAAAGATCTACTACCAAGTTTTTTTTAGGCGGAGCAATTAGCTGATTATTGAGGTTGAAATCTATACTAACTTTGTCTTCTAAGGAGGTCGAGTATATGCCACTCACTCATGAATCTAAATAAACAATTTCGCTAAATAGGTTGGTTAGAGAATTTGAGTTGTGCAATAAGGAATACAACTTGATTGTGATAACCAAAGTACTCTAGATTTAGCAATAAATAAATAAATCATCTTTTTCATGATAGGACTAAATATCTAGATACCCATTATCATTTTGCTCAAGACTCCGTGGAATAATTCAGTCTTTTGTTGCAGAAATTTCATGAAACATATATATGAAAGAAAGACCTATGTGATCTTTTATAAGGGAATATCTTTTTCTTTTTTTTTCTTCACTGCTTTCTTTTGGCAAAGATCATTTCGATATGCGTACCATGTGATAGTACATGGATGAGGTTTTTGCCCCTATCTTTGTAGGCCACCATCACACACAAGGACCATACAATCCCTCGGCTCACTCATCCAAGCATGTTCTCCGAACTCATTAAGGGTTAACTTATAAACCCTCATCGGTTTGTTCTTCATGCATAGATAACATGGGTTTTTTCCAACCGACTGGCCTAGATCGTTAAGCACATATCGGTATCAGCAGACCATTGTTTGCTTAGTATGGTCCACGAGGGATCACACTCCCACTGAGTTCATGTTCCACTATATCATTTCATTTTACAAGTACTCACAAAGCCTTTAAAGACCACATAAACCCAACAATATATATATATATATATATATATATATATATATATATATATATATATATAGTAGTAGATAACTAATATAATATAATATAGTATACTACTAACTAACTAACGTAACTAGTAAGTTAAGTT